GAGTATTCAAGTCAACAATCTGGTTATAGTCTCGTTTTATTAGTAGTTGGAAAGTGCAATCCAGTTGTACAAGTGTTAGGTATTTGTGTGAAGTTGATGAAATGAATTTCTTCAAGTTGAGTTATTTAGATTAGGTTTTGAGTTTCTTAGTTCGTTCTCTGGAGTCGCAATCTATGTAGCCAGAGCCAGGCGGTTGGAAAGAACGCGTTCGGTTTCTATCCAATGGTGTTCTCAGAGACTTCAATTAAATTGGAGTCAATATCGGATACACTGGAAGAGCTTGTGGTGAGCCTCCTGGAACTATGGTATCATTATTTTGGGAACCAGTTTCCATGGAATTTGTGCTAAACGAAACCTGTTCTACGAAACATTTTTGTGGTTTCTTCAAATTAATTTCGTACGAAGCCTAAAAAAGTTTAGAATTCCTTTCAAAATTCGGAACCTTTTTAAGCTCAATACAGTACCTTTTTTTCAGTGCACTCACACGCTCCACTGTCTTCACACCAACACCCACTCGCATGTCGCGCGAGTGCAGTCAGCTGCGAGCTATTTTTACGGGAAATCCATTTTCCCAAATCACATAAGGTATCGTCATATGAGCGTGTACAGTCGTGTGTCTTATCATTCGTGAATGCTGTGAGTGTGCGTGCGCCTGAGAACGGGAGTGTCAACGTGGGTCTGGAGTGGGTGTTTCTGGGCGTGCGCGGGTGTGAGCGTGAATTTATATGAAGAACATTAGATTTACAGCCACACGCGCAAATCCACATCCAAATTCACACCCACACTTCAAGAGACCACTCTTATCATGCCTCAAAATGCATTATTCGTACCCTGAGACGGCCGCGTAATGTATCAGTGAAGTGAGATGGATGTTGTCATCCGTGAAACTCCTTTCCCCGCGTCCTCACGCGGTCGCGTAACGTGTAACACAAGTGAGATGGATGTTGTCATGCGTGAAACTCATTTCTCCGCACCCTCACGGGGGCGTGTGATGTGTGAGTGAAGTGAGATGGATATTGTTTTCCGTGAAACTCTCTTAGTGGTACCCACAGCTGCGGTCTTGTGTGTGAGTGTGTGTTTTGTTAATGCTCTTTGATGAAACTCATGTCGCCGCACATAAACCGCGACGACTGTGTGTATTTTCCGAATTACTCAATAGATAAACTTCAATTATTCAATAATTGAATAATTGAATAGTTCAACTTCAACTATTGAAAAAAAAATATGTGAATAGTTGAATAGTTGAATAGTTGAATAGTTGAAGTTCAACCATTGAAAAGAAATATATGAATACTTGAATAGTTGAAGTTCAACTATTGAAAGAAAATATATGAATAGTTGGATAGTTGAAGTTCAACTATTCAATAATTGAATAATTGAAATAGATTTTCAATAACTGAATTCAACTTTCACGTTTGACATGTATGGAATTTCCAGAAATTAGATAAGTTTCTGAAACTCAAATCATGATGTAGGGAAAATCTTTTTTTCGAGAACCGAATCTAATTTTGATCAATGAAATGCGGTACCGTAAGGTAACAAACATAGAAGCCATCTCTCTCTATGTAGGTGCCACAATAGAAGTTCCACGACATCTCTCTGTGCGGGTGCCACGAAATGAGTCTCTTGGAATCTCTCCTGATGTTTATTATGCTCGTTATGCCTTCCTTCAGAGTCATCTCGAAAGAAAGGAGTTTCCGGGAAACTAATAGAATGCATCACACCGTTTAAACCCTTTCCACCTGTAGATCCTGAAGGAGCGGGTTTTCAAAGACTGCTGAAACTAGTCGACAATAAAATCTATAAAAATCAAACAAGAAAAATTATTTTTTATTTCGAAAGGCATGTCTCAAAAAGAAAATAAACGTTTGTCTAAAAAAGAACCAACTACTTATTTTCAAATTTTTAAAAGAACCATGATTTAGACTATGGTTAAGGTTGTTCGATTTGATTTTCAAGAAGGTTGAGTAAGAACAGAAATAGTCAATGAAGTTGGATAATTGTTGACATAGACCAGAGTAATCGACAGTGATATAGGGTTCAGTTAGTTCTGTCTTTGATACATAGTATTTCATTAGGATGTACGCTGCGTAAAATGGCTACTGTATATCAAAGATTTCAAGAACCATGGCCATTAGAATCAATGTACTGCCTTGATATGAGTGAATGAATAGTTTATGAAAGGGTATTTTCTCATTGTTTTCTTTATCGGCAATGTAATTTTTTAGAATAGATTCAAAGTCCAGTTTGATCAGCTTGAGAGCCGTTTCAAATTTCGAGTACTCAAAAACATCAAACCTAATATTTGTATTCATTAGCATATGTTCTCGGGCAAATATTGTATGAAAAAC